CCGCACGCGCCCAGCCCGCACCCAGCGGGGCCGGGATGTAGGCAGGTTGGGGGCCGGGAATGCCTGCGGCCCCGTGGAGGAGGACCCGCCGGTCCCACCGGCCTCAGGCGCTCCGCACAGCCGGTACCTCGGGCGGGCAGGTGAGGGGCTCGGGCTCGCGCGGCAGACTGGAGAGGGAGGGGCGTGGCCGGGAGAGGGCGGGCCGAGGCTTGGATTGGGTACAGCCCCTGGCGGGCGTGGCCTGAACGGCCAGTGGGCCGAGCTTACGAACCAGGGGCTGCCAGAAGATAGAGTGGGCGTGGCTGGGGGCGTGACGAGCGTGTCTAGGAGAGGGGCGGGACTTAAGGGCCAGGGCTCCGGGAAAACCACAGGGAGTGGTCGTTGCCGTGGGCGTGGCGCGGTGAGCGATTCGACCAGAGGAGCGGGGCTTACGGGCCAGGGCTGTAGGAAGACTGCATGGAGTGGGCGGGACGCGGGGCGGGGCGGGGCGCGCAGGTCCAGAAAGATGGGCGGGGCTTACAGGCCAGGGCTGTAGGGAATCAGCAGGGAGTGGGCGTGTCCGGGGCGTGGCGCGGCGTGCGAGTCTATGAGAGGGGCGGGGCTTTCGGGGCAGGGCCGTAGGGAGACAGCATGGAGTGGGTGGGCCGGGGGCGTGGCGCGGTAAGCCAGTCCGGGACTCGGAGCTCCGCGGCGCGGCTGGAAGGAGGCCCGCGGGCGGCGAGGGCGGGCAGGAGGTGGGAGGGCTGCAGGAAGGAAGGAGCCGGCGGGAGGCGGGGGCTCGGTCCAGGTGAAAACTTTCTGACCGCTCCCGGGAGCCTCAGAGGCGGGACGTCGCGTGGTGAGTGGCCGCGGGCGGGAGCGGAGCCGGGGAGCGGGACTCGGGGGGCCGGCGCGGGGTTCGCGGCGCGGAGCGTCCCGGCCCGGGGCTTGGCGGGGCTCAGGGCGGGGTCTGCGGGCGGCGGGGCCGGCTTCGTCCCAACTCTGTGGTTGGGGGCAGGATGCGCATCTGTGCAGTCTCAGCCTCAGTTTCCCTCCAGGGCGCGCGGGCTGGTCAGTCGGGCGCCGCCGGCGTCGCCTGTTCCCCGGCACATCGTCCTTTCCTTCTTTTCTTCCTTGGGGCTGGGGCTCCCTGGGCTGGCCTCGAACCCGGAACCTTCTGCCTCCGCCCCCCGGGTGGGCCGGGCCGACCTGGGGTCGCGCCCGGAGGTCAGGGCCACTTCCTGCGCCGGCTGTGACTCCGGCGCGACGGTGCAGTGAGGGACAGAGGGCAGAGCTGCCCCCGCCCGGCCTCCCCAGGAGGACGAGCGGGAACCGGCCCCGCGGCCCCGGGAGGTCGGCCCCAGCCCCGGCCCAAAGCAGCCGGGGCCCTGAGGCCCCGCGT